GATCCAGTTACGGTTGGTTCGCCAGTGCTAACGTGTGTTTCGGCGCCCTGCGTTGATCCAGTTACTGTTGGTTCGCCAGTGCTAACGTGTGTTTCGGCGCCCTGCGTTGATCCAGTTACTGTTGGTTCGCCAGTGCTAACGTGTGTTTCGGCGCCCTGCGTTGATCCAGTTACTGTTGGTTCGCCAGTGCTAACGTGTGTTTCGGCGCCCTGCGTTGATCCAGTTACTGTTGGTTCGCCAGTGCTAACGTGTGTTTCGGCGCCCTGCGTTGATCCAGTTACTGTTGGTTCGCCAGTGCTAACGTGTGTTTCGGCGCCCTGTGTTGATCCAGTTACTGTTGGTTCGCCAGTGCTAACGTGTGTTTCGGCGCCCTGTGTTGATCCAGTTACAGTTGGTTCGCCAGTGCTAACGTGTGTTTCGGCGCCCTGTGTTGATCCAGTTACTGTTGGTTCGCCAGTGCTAACGTGTGTTTCGGCGCCCTGTGTTGATCCAGTTACTGTTGGTTCGCCAGTGCTAACGTGTGTTTCGGCGCCCTGCGTTGATCCAGTTACTGTTGGTTCGCCAGTGCTAACGTGTGTTTCGGCGCCCTGCGTTGATCCAGTTACTGTTGGTTCGCCAGTGCTAACGTGTGTTTCGGCGCCCTGCGTTGATCCAGTTACTGTTGGTTCGCCAGTGCTAACGTGTGTTTCGGCGCCCTGCGTTGATCCAGTTACTGTTGGTTCGCCAGTGCTAACGTGTGTTTCGGCGCCCTGCGTTGATCCAGTTACTGTTGGTTCGCCAGTGCTAACGTGTGTTTCGGCGCCCTGCGTTGATCCAGTTACTGTTGGTTCGCCAGTGCTAACGTGTGTTTCGGCGCCCTGCGTTGATCCAGTTACTGTTGGTTCGCCAGTGCTAACGTGTGTTTCGGCGCCCTGCGTTGATCCAGTTACTGTTGGTTCGCCAGTGCTAACGTGTGTTTCGGCGCCCTGCGTTGATCCAGTTACTGTTGGTTCGCCAGTGCTAACGTGTGTTTCGGCGCCCTGCGTTGATCCAGTTACTGTTGGTTCGCCAGTGCTAACGTGTGTTTCGGCGCCCTGCGTTGATCCAGTTACTGTTGGTTCGCCAGTGCTAACGTGTGTTTCGGCGCCCTGCGTTGATCCAGTTACTGTTGGTTCGCCAGTGCTAACGTGTGTTTCGGCGCCCTGCGTTGATCCAGTTACTGTTGGTTCGCCAGTGCTAACGTGTGTTTCGGCGCCCTGCGTTGATCCAGTTACTGTTGGTTCGCCAGTGCTAACGTGTGTTTCGGCGCCCTGCGTTGATCCAGTTACTGTTGGTTCGCCAGTGCTAACGTGTGTTTCGGCGCCCTGCGTTGATCCAGTTACTGTTGGTTCGCCAGTGCTAACGTGTGTTTCGGCGCCCTGCGTTGATCCAGTTACTGTTGGTTCGCCAGTGCTAACGTGTGTTTCGGCGCCCTGCGTTGATCCAGTTACTGTTGGTTCGCCAGTGCTAACGTGTGTTTCGGCGCCCTGCGTTGATCCAGTTACTGTTGGTTCGCCAGTGCTAACGTGTGTTTCGGCGCCCTGCGTTGATCCAGTTACTGTTGGTTCACCAGTGCTAACGTGTGTTTCGGCGCCCTGCGTTGATCCAGTTACTGTTGGTTCGCCAGTGCTAACGTGTGTTTCGGCGCCCTGCGTTGATCCAGTTACTGTTGGTTCGCCAGTGCTAACGTGTGTTTCGGCGCCCTGCGTTGATCCAGTTACTGTTGGTTCGCCAGTGCTAACGTGTGTTTCGGCGCCCTGCGTTGATCCAGTTACTGTTGGTTCGCCAGTGCTAACGTGTGTTTCGGCGCCCTGCGTTGATCCAGTTACTGTTGGTTCGCCAGTGCTAACGTGTGTTTCGGCGCCCTGCGTTGATCCAGTTACGGTTGGTTCGCCAGTGCTAACGTGTGTTTCGGCGCCCTGCGTTGATCCAGTTACGGTTGGTTCGCCAGTGCTAACGTGTGTTTCGGCGCCCTGCGTTGATCCAGTTACTGTTGGTTCGCCAGTGCTAACGTGTGTTTCGGCGCCCTGCGTTGATCCAGTTACTGTTGGTTCGCCAGTGCTAACGTGTGTTTCGGCGCCCTGTGTTGATCCAGTTACAGTTGGTTCGCCAGTGCTAACGTGTGTTTCGGCGCCCTGTGTTGATCCAGTTACAGTTGGTTCGCCAGTGCTAACGTGTGTTTCGGCGCCCTGTGTTGATCCAGTTACTGTTGGTTCGCCAGTGCTAACGTGTGTTTCGGCGCCCTGTGTTGATCCAGTTACAGTTGGTTCGCCAGTGCTAACGTGTGTTTCGGCGCCCTGTGTTGATCCAGTTACTGTTGGTTCGCCAGTGCTAACGTGTGTTTCGGCGCCCTGCGTTGATCCAGTTACTGTTGGTTCGCCAGTGCTAACGTGTGTTTCGGCGCCCTGCGTTGATCCAGTTACTGTTGGTTCGCCAGTGCTAACGTGTGTTTCGGCGCCCTGCGTTGATCCAGTTACTGTTGGTTCGCCAGTGCTAACGTGTGTTTCGGCGCCCTGCGTTGATCCAGTTACTGTTGGTTCGCCAGTGCTAACGTGTGTTTCGGCGCCCTGCGTTGATCCAGTTACTGTTGGTTCGCCAGTGCTAACGTGTGTTTCGGCGCCCTGCGTTGATCCAGTTACTGTTGGTTCGCCAGTGCTAACGTGTGTTTCGGCGCCCTGCGTTGATCCAGTTACTGTTGGTTCGCCAGTGCTAACGTGTGTTTCGGCGCCCTGCGTTGATCCAGTTACTGTTGGTTCGCCAGTGCTAACGTGTGTTTCGGCGCCCTGCGTTGATCCAGTTACTGTTGGTTCGCCAGTGCTAACGTGTGTTTCGGCGCCCTGCGTTGATCCAGTTACTGTTGGTTCGCCAGTGCTAACGTGTGTTTCGGCGCCCTGCGTTGATCCAGTTACTGTTGGTTCGCCAGTGCTAACGTGTGTTTCGGCGCCCTGCGTTGATCCAGTTACTGTTGGTTCGCCAGTGCTAACGTGTGTTTCGGCGCCCTGCGTTGATCCAGTTACTGTTGGTTCGCCAGTGCTAACGTGTGTTTCGGCGCCCTGCGTTGATCCAGTTACTGTTGGTTCGCCAGTGCTAACGTGTGTTTCGGCGCCCTGCGTTGATCCAGTTACTGTTGGTTCGCCAGTGCTAACGTGTGTTTCGGCGCCCTGCGTTGATCCAGTTACTGTTGGTTCGCCAGTGCTAACGTGTGTTTCGGCGCCCTGCGTTGATCCAGTTACTGTTGGTTCGCCAGTGCTAACGTGTGTTTCGGCGCCCTGCGTTGATCCAGTTACTGTTGGTTCACCAGTGCTAACGTGTGTTTCGGCGCCCTGCGTTGATCCAGTTACTGTTGGTTCGCCAGTGCTAACGTGTGTTTCGGCGCCCTGCGTTGATCCAGTTACTGTTGGTTCGCCAGTGCTAACGTGTGTTTCGGCGCCCTGCGTTGATCCAGTTACTGTTGGTTCGCCAGTGCTAACGTGTGTTTCGGCGCCCTGCGTTGATCCAGTTACTGTTGGTTCGCCAGTGCTAACGTGTGTTTCGGCGCCCTGCGTTGATCCAGTTACTGTTGGTTCGCCAGTGCTAACGTGTGTTTCGGCGCCCTGCGTTGATCCAGTTACGGTTGGTTCGCCAGTGCTAACGTGTGTTTCGGCGCCCTGCGTTGATCCAGTTACGGTTGGTTCGCCAGTGCTAACGTGTGTTTCGGCGCCCTGCGTTGATCCAGTTACTGTTGGTTCGCCAGTGCTAACGTGTGTTTCGGCGCCCTGCGTTGATCCAGTTACTGTTGGTTCGCCAGTGCTAACGTGTGTTTCGGCGCCCTGTGTTGATCCAGTTACAGTTGGTTCGCCAGTGCTAACGTGTGTTTCGGCGCCCTGTGTTGATCCAGTTACAGTTGGTTCGCCAGTGCTAACGTGTGTTTCGGCGCCCTGTGTTGATCCAGTTACTGTTGGTTCGCCAGTGCTAACGTGTGTTTCGGCGCCCTGTGTTGATCCAGTTACAGTTGGTTCGCCAGTGCTAACGTGTGTTTCGGCGCCCTGTGTTGATCCAGTTACTGTTGGTTCGCCAGTGCTAACGTGTGTTTCGGCGCCCTGCGTTGATCCAGTTACTGTTGGTTCGCCAGTGCTAACGTGTGTTTCGGCGCCCTGCGTTGATCCAGTTACTGTTGGTTCGCCAGTGCTAACGTGTGTTTCGGCGCCCTGCGTTGATCCAGTTACTGTTGGTTCGCCAGTGCTAACGTGTGTTTCGGCGCCCTGCGTTGATCCAGTTACTGTTGGTTCGCCAGTGCTAACGTGTGTTTCGGCGCCCTGCGTTGATCCAGTTACTGTTGGTTCGCCAGTGCTAACGTGTGTTTCGGCGCCCTGCGTTGATCCAGTTACTGTTGGTTCGCCAGTGCTAACGTGTGTTTCGGCGCCCTGCGTTGATCCAGTTACTGTTGGTTCGCCAGTGCTAACGTGTGTTTCGGCGCCCTGCGTTGATCCAGTTACTGTTGGTTCGCCAGTGCTAACGTGTGTTTCGGCGCCCTGCGTTGATCCAGTTACTGTTGGTTCGCCAGTGCTAACGTGTGTTTCGGCGCCCTGCGTTGATCCAGTTACTGTTGGTTCGCCAGTGCTAACGTGTGTTTCGGCGCCCTGCGTTGATCCAGTTACTGTTGGTTCGCCAGTGCTAACGTGTGTTTCGGCGCCCTGCGTTGATCCAGTTACTGTTGGTTCGCCAGTGCTAACGTGTGTTTCGGCGCCCTGCGTTGATCCAGTTACTGTTGGTTCGCCAGTGCTAACGTGTGTTTCGGCGCCCTGCGTTGATCCAGTTACTGTTGGTTCGCCAGTGCTAACGTGTGTTTCGGCGCCCTGCGTTGATCCAGTTACTGTTGGTTCGCCAGTGCTAACGTGTGTTTCGGCGCCCTGCGTTGATCCAGTTACTGTTGGTTCGCCAGTGCTAACGTGTGTTTCGGCGCCCTGCGTTGATCCAGTTACTGGTGGTTTCTCAGTGCTGACATCTGTTTCGGCGCTTTCCGTCGACACGGTTGTATCGGCTATTGTTGTTGCGACTGTTTTTCTAGTTCTTTGTGTGGTGGTTGGTGCTGACGTAGTAGTATCTTCCTTTTCCCCTGTAATGTTCAAAAACTTGGATAGAACTTGGTAATATTTTTTGATATCTGCTGCATGACGAAGGCGGTTGCCCAACTAGGTTGAAGGCTGTCGCGCACGCGGCGCGCGGACAATTGTCAACCACCGGGCGCGCGCACGCTCGGTCAGCGGAGCGTGCGCGCGCCCCGTAGCTGACAATTGCCCGCGCGCCGCGTGCGCAACAGCCTTCAACCTATTTGGGCAACCGCCTTCGTCATGCAGCAGATATTATTGTGTTTCAATGTTTAGGGCATCTGAGCTTCCTTCAACAAATTCTTTTCTCTTACATTAAGTAGAATTTGTTCTATGCCCTCATGTTATATCATTAAAGCGGTTGAATTGCTCTGAAACATTTGGAAGGTGACAGCAGCTCTCCAAACAAAACCTGTTGTCGTTCAAGTTTGCTAGGCCTTGGAAAAATTAGCAATCCTACCGAATTCTATATAGACATTGAGACTTTTCGTACTTTTTGTAGTAGGTAAAGCACTTATTTTTTGTTTAGTCATTAACTTTTAACAGCATGTGCTAAACGTTGAGTCCGTCGTAAGCATTGTAGGAAAAGGGAAAGAGGTGTGTTCAATCTTACAGGAATTTGGGTGAACTATGAGTTTAGCACAAAGAAGATCATGCGAATTTTAATCAACTCTGAAATTCTCTACCCAAAGCCAGGAACTTGGCTATTATGCTTTCCTGCTAAATGAATAATGATTTGTTTAGAGGGTAAGCTTAGTTTTTAGCGTGTATCCTCATCATTCATTTAGCGGAAATAGTTCGAAAATTGTGTTGGCTAGATGCATAAGCATTGAGTAGAAAGATAAAACATTCATTTGAGGTGTTTCGCAAAAAATCAGGAAGCCACATTATCTGTTTTCACGCAACATTGTGGCAGGGTAAACACGAAAAAAGGAAAATTGTAAGGCACAGCTTTACATGAGTTTGAATCATTTCGCATTAATGAAGACTTACATTTGAAGCAAGTCTTTGGAAGACTCTAAATTCCCGAAAACAGGGAGAAATCGTATCTTTACAAAAGATTTCTTAAGGGAAATCTTTTGCACACGCTACAATCTCTACATCAGGCGCTCATTAACGTAGTTCCTTGGTTTTTCGTGGCCAGAAATCAAGAACGACATCTGGCATAAATTTAAGCATTTCTACTCTTTTCCCTGTTAAGTGAAGTTGTAGTATGAATACCGGAAGTAAAAAGTATAATTATGAACTTTTAGCTTTCTAAATCGGTAGTTTTCGGGAGATAACTAATTAGGCACAAACTAAAAAACGCGACGTGCGACTTTTCGATTATTCAGGAATTTTTCAAATTTTGCAAGGTTTGCTTGCGACAAAATTTCAACAGATGTTTAGATTTCTTCTTGTAGAGCTTGCTTTGCTCTAGCAAATGGTAAATCGATAAATTACTTTTTTGCTCATCTAGAAATGGTGGCATGTTGCGACATTTTTTTGGGACGATGTAATATTATGTTAGGTCACTCCGAAAGTAATTTCGCTTTTTCAAACGGACGCCACATGTGATGGAAGATTTCTGAGAGATTTTGCTAGCATTCGATACAGCATTGCATCTTCTTTCTAACAATAATGAAATCTTTGCAGCGCTCTCAATGAGCTTTCGAAAAATTACTAAAATCTGCGACACATGTTTTTTGAAACGGTCAAGTTTTAAAATCTTTTGAAACTTTTATATCAATCCTCAGAAGGAGCTCAAGTTACGATTCGATAGAGCAAACCTTGGAATACAGTATATCTTTCTTCTCCTTTTCGTAGCTCGCAGTAATTTTTAGAAGATTTTTTAACAAAACCATTGGATTTTGGCAGGCCTACATCAGCCACAGCATCAAACATCCTAATTATTCAGAATTTGAGACAACCAAGATGGTTACGAGTTAGCACTAAATTCACAAAGCAAATGAGAGTTTACGGATTCGAAATATCAAACCGATCGGATACAGCCTGGGACTTTTTGAAAAAAATACTTGTGATGATTTAATCCCCCAAAACTGAAAAAATCGGAAACAAAAAACACCCATAGAAAGAGGAGAAGATGTGCATCGAATAGTGCCCGAGCTGCTCTTCCTTTGGTGTTCTACGAGGATTTAGCTGCTCAAGTATGGAAATCGGCAGCATCAGCTAAACTGTTAAAAGAAGTATGACAAGCGTGAAAAGGAGAGAAAAATTGTTTTGCATTCTGTAGGGTTTGTCCTATAAAAACGTTCCTTGAACTTTTACGGAGGGTTCAAATAAAAGTTCGAAAAATTGTGAAACTTGACCATCTCAAAAGCATAGGTCGCAAATTTTGGTTATTTTCTCAAAGCTCATTGAGTGTGTTGCAACAGTTTCATAACCTTCAGAAAGAGGATGAAATTCTGCATCGAAAGCTTCCAAGATCTTTAAGAAATCTTTGTTCCATTCGAGCTTCTAGCCGTTGGTGAAAAGAAAGTAAAGGCTATGTCTGAAAAGAGCGCTCAGACAACGCTGGCTTTTAGAGGCTTTCGAGTGAAAAGGTAATCGTGGAGCCATAGTTCAACGCGATGCTAGCACAAATGATTCATCACTGCCACGAAATTCGTCTCCAACCTGTTCCCGCTACAGGAGGGACGACTTGCATCGGCTTGCACACTATTGCGCGGGAGTGCACCGACCTCGTAGGCCCCGCGCAAATGCATGCAAGCGATGCATGTCGCTCGCTGATGCGATACAATGGACCTTTTGGAAATGAATTCTCGAGCTTAGATGAAAATTAGCTTCGTAAAAGCTCGACTGGTAGACCTGCCTGGAGCTGCCTGTGGACTTCTTCATAGCGCAAATTTCAACTGTTGCTGTTTTCCTTTACGCTCAAAAACAACCGTAATTACTACTAATTGGATGAACAAAACCAGAAATTCATGAAATTAATCAAAGTTTCCTTCTTGCATATTTTAACCTTCCACTATTTGCTTGTTTGTCGATGTAGACCTCCTGCATACCTTTAAACTCAGCTTACCCTTTTCTTTGATTTCCTCAGCAATGTCCTTGTCAGAACCAATAAACACATCTTCCATTTTTTTCAACACCTCTTCACCACTTATGTTAAAGGCTTTGAAGGCATCTACGAAGGCATCTCTTATATCCGTTGAATTCTTAGTATTTGAGACAAGGCTAAACTTCTTGCTCAGGCCTGTCTCGCTCGTTATCATTTTAGCGAGTACTTCCATTTCGGGATCATCCGCGCTGAAACAAATCTAGACATTGCGATTGATCTCATCTCATCAACAGTAAAGTGTCTTGTATGTTTGAAAGCAGCGTCCAGAAATATCTTTTCGGCCTTCATGCATGTGCACCTTCTCATGCATGCAGGACCCAATTCTTGGCTTTGATCGGAATGAAAAGCTGGTGCCAAGGCTTTTGCTCGCTCTTCATAGCGAGTCTCGGACGCTAATTCAAATAGAAAGTGTAACAGCTTCGGTTTAAAAAACCTGCCACTTACAGTTTTTGCAGAGGAATGTATGCAGACCCGCTCAGTTTAGGTAAGTGGACTTAAATCAAGACCGCACGTCGAGAAACAAAAGTTTTCTCTGCGAACAAGACTCAGAATGTTGTGTGAAATGTTTAGGAGGCCAAAGTTGAGGCCACTCGCTCTTACAAGTACTTGATTTTACCGGACGCTGCCTATGCTGTTATGTGCTGCAATTCCGATACTATAAGAAACATACTTGTACGTGAAGTTGCATGGAACATAATGCACCAATATGTCCTTCTTTCTATCCTTAGTCTTATTGAGGAATCTCGTGACGGCGCTGAAATTCGAAATGAAGATAAGCTTTTATGAACTATCAGTAGACTGAGATTTTCATCGTTCACATTCATATGCAATAAAATCTCTCGATTTGATTTTAAAGAAGAGTTTTTAGTTCTAACGGATCATTATGGAGTATTGCTTGATTTTACTGAGTGAGTTGGTAATAGTCATTTTTGTGACACTAAACTCACCCAGCTTGGTTGAAGCCTTCTTTATTTTGAGGCTTTGGCCTCAAGGACTTCACAGTATTTCGTGCTTCGAGAGCTTTCAAAGGTCCAATTTCTTCCACATTGTCACCATAGAGTATAAAGTTGTATTGCTGTGCTGGCTTGCTCTTGGCAATCTCGCTTATTGCTTTTTCCGTGTTCTCGTTATTCTGTAAAGCATTGTACTAGTCATTTTTAACTCCAAAAAGACATCAAACTAAGTTCACGGTCTCTCCCTACATTTCCTTTGAAACCTATCCCAACTAAATCAAGTGCTCTGAAATGTCAGGCTAAATTGTCCAGCCTCTGATCATAGCAATTTGACTTTGGTTTTATAGTGATTTCATGGAATCGCTGGAGGTTTGTCTTGGGTTGAACTCACCTTTTTGAGGCTACATTTTTCGTCGCCATTAGCTCTTGAAAGCAAATGCAAGCGTGGTGATAGTGGTGCCTTCACTTCTCCATCATCCATATCTCCCATGTACATAGAGAAATGCATCACTCTGATTTCTAAAACAAAATGACCTTTGATTCGACCGCCTTGGAGGCTGGAAGGCTGGGCTTTGTGATATTTTGAACCGCTAGCGCCCGTTACGCAGATTGGTCTCCCTCGCACGCGTGCTCAATATCTAGCCGTAATTAGGTCACAAAGCACCGCCTTCCAGCTGCCAAGCCAGTTGAATCATAGGGTATTTGCGATGAGGAATTTGGATTCGGAGAGCCTAAAATTATGAGACAAAGTTTCTGAAGATAAAGAACCGCTGCAATTTGATTTCGCCATATTTTTGGGCGCCAAGGCCTGGAACTCCAATGATTTTTACGTGTGCTTTACAAAATGGGTGATTGAGATAGGCAGCTTTTAAAAAGATGAGCAAACAGATTTTTTTAGGGATTGGAGAGACGCGTAGAGCATAGAACACTACTGTCACCAGTTCAAGTGTTAAGAACATATGTTGAAGCTAAAAAATAAATGTAAACATGTAGAAGTGCAAATGATACCATCGTTGCCTTTCTTTGGCTGTTTTGATGTGAGAGCCACAGTCAGGATTACGGACAGAGCCGAACCAAATATAACCACAAATAGAAACAGGCCAGTCCATGGCAATTTAACTGGAAAGAAAATGTGAAATTTTGTTAATGTCTCTCATTCCACACACTCAATTTCTGATTCAAAAAAGGTCTGTCTACCTGTAGAATACTTTGATGAGACTGTCAGATTACTTTTGTCTGCTGGAGTAAACCTCTCAACAATTTTTTGCAAAGCACCTAGAGTACTGTGGGTGCAATAAATGAAAGCTTAATGCATGATAAATTCAGCAAATTTCAACAAATTCATAAGAAGTTTACAAACGTTTAAAAAACGATGCTGTAAATGTTGATTACAACTTTGTGTTATATCTCTTAACCAGGGTCAAGCGTGGGGTGCGGCACGCCACACCTGGGGGGTCGTATTGAGGAGTCAAAAGGGGAGAGGGTGGTAGCTGGGTAATTTGATAATAGTGATAACATGATATTCGTATCCTATCCATAATTAGCATGTCAAATAACCCCTGTAGACAAAGTATGAGCGAATTTTGAACAATTTTAGCGGACAGTATTTATATGAATCGATAACCTAAACCTTGTAGATTTCATAAGACTGTTTGGAGCCTGATTCGTCTTCTTAGCTCTGAGTAATATTTGGTGAAAGCACAGCGATCAAAAGCGAAAAATGGGAAAAACGAGTTTTGGTTGGCTTTTAATTCCACACTTTGGAGGTCTTCTGAAGCGGGATTCCTGAGGTAGACAAAGAAGGAGTAGTGCTTTGTCTTGAGTGCAAAAACGGATAGCTAATTCACCTGTGAAACAAAGTTAACCATGTTGGAATTTGACCATTTCACTTAGGTAGCCTAGTATCCTGAATCTTCAAAATTCTCTATCCATAATTAGCATGTCAATTAACCCCTGTAGACAAAGTGTGAGCGAATTCTGAAGATTCAAGTTACTAGGCTACCTAAATGAAATGGTCAAATTCCAACATGGTTAACCTTGTTTCAAAAGTGAATTAACTATCCGTTTGTGCACTCAAGACAAAGCACTACTCCTTCTTTGTCCACTTCAGGAATCCCGCTTCAGAAAACCTGCAAACTGTGGAATTAGAAGCTAACCAAAATCTCGTTTTTCCCAATTTTCGCTTTTGATCGCTGTGCTTTCACCAAATATTACTTAGAGCTAAGAAGACAAATCAGGCTCCAAACAGTCCTATGGAATCTACAAGGTTTAGGCTATCGATTCATATAAATACTGTCAACTAAAAATGTTTTTTTGATATAGTTAATGGGGTGCGGCACACCCCCTTAAAAGCTGCGGCTGCCGCAGCTTTTAAGGGGGTGTACCGCACCTCCTTAACTTGCCTTCAAAATCCAGAAAGCGCTCCATTGCTGGTATGAGTATTGAGCACATAGCTTCTTCTTGCTACATTGGGAATTTGGAGCCGAACGCCCCACCCATAAGAAAATTATGACCCTTTCAATATGCCCATTTAGATCAAAATCAGCCGTCAAATTACGTGTGATTGTAAAGTGCAGTCACAGAAAATCGGGCGTACAGCTCTCAGAAATCTGAAAACTCTAGAAAAAGATGGTGTCCTCCAAAATGTCACACTTTGAGGTCCAGAGGTTAAGAGGAGGAAGAAGGGGTCGTTTGAGGGCTTTCTTGGGAGGGGGGGGTTCGAAATACTTGTGCCTGACCTCTTTCTCAACTCTGGTAATGCTATCTTAGATGTATAGTTCAGGGGGGGGGGGGTCTTATTAAGACAGCAATCAGGGGGGGGGGGGTCGTAACCAGCGATCGTGTGCCACACCCCTTGCTTGACTCTGCTCTTAACTGTTACGATATATAAACAGTACGTTGCTAGAATTCAAGGTTGCTAGTAGCATTTTTTGAAAATGCTACAATATGCAGGGTATTCCAAAAGTTCGTACACGCTATCAAGTCTTAATCATTCTTCTCAAAAAGCTTTTGCTCAATTTGTGATGCCACGCTGTGGAGCTGGCTTCATGTCCATATTTTGAAGCGATTCACAATTACTGATTATTTTGAAGAAAATTTCAAACTTATCAACTATAGGGGGCATATTTTGCCTTAGAAAGGAATCTAGGTCAAGCAATCTAGAAACTCTCACTAGGGTAGAGCTCTTTGTTATTGTATTAGTATGGAGGAACTATCAGTGCACTGTGTCAAACAGGCGACTTAAATGGAATGTATAGCAGCGATCAAACGCATGCTGATATCGCTCACATCTTTTTAGAATTCTAAGCTTTCTTAATCATTTGATTACAATTACTGGCATTGAAGGCATTGCACTTACAGTATATTTGGCATAATTCATAAGAGAAGATTAGATTTACGAATTTATATGTCAGCAACTCTGACTGTCCTAGTGTGAGAGGTTTTAGATTGTTTGGCTTTCCAAGACAAAATATGACCCCCATTGGCCCGAAACCTTCTTCAAAATGAATTTACAGTAATAGAAAAAGATCAGTGATATCGTCTTCCTAACTTATCGATCGACTGCAATGGACTTTATTGCTCTGATGCGTCTTTTTTGATCAGACAGTTCTACCCTGTCCTCTTTCTTGCACTTTTTCTTAGATGCACTTTTTGCAAAATTTTGCAGATGCAAAAGCCTGCCAGACGCTCTAGTTGCGAATTGGTCAGTACTTATAAACAAATTAAAACTGAGAAGAGTTTTGATTAATTACAACATGATCCTTTCTTGATGCACAAATATGACCTCTAAACGGCTTTATATTAGATATAAACACACGAGCAAGGCTTAGAATCGCATGAAAAATTGCCAATTCAAATCGTCAACTAAGAATTATCCTTTAATTTCATGTAGACAGAGCTGTAGCCAAACGCCAAAAATTGCGTACTTCCCTCTCATTCCAAAAGGCATTTTCACAAGCTCAGTGCCGTGAAAGTCATTGTCAAAAGAGTCTATCAAACTTTTTTCTGCATTTTTTATATGAATTTTTTATATGAATTTTTTGACGTAATCACCATTTATGAGCTTTTGATAAGCAGTATGGCACAGCAAAATATTGTACTCACAAGATAGGAATGACAATTAGATTTCTGACTCCTCAATGTATTATCTTTACGAGAAAATTTTTATTGCAGTGTTTGTATAGTGTTTCACATGATGCCTTTAATTCTTCTGTACAGACTGATTAGAAGAAGACGGTAACAACATTGCTAATGTATGAAAAAGGTGTTTTCGACTTTTATCTGAGTATGCTCCTCGTACCGTAACTGTTTGAGGTTGAAAAAGTAAATCTGATGAATTTTAAAATGTTGATCATAGACATGCGTTGCAGCGAAGTATTCAATAGAATACGTGCCACAAAAATAGGTTACTAGACGAATTGTACCAAAAAATTTTTTTATGTGACAATTACATTATGCTTCACGAACGTGACTGTGGACGAGTAAGAGCTACGTGCTTTTTTAATGCTTCAACTACAGAGTTTTTATAAGGGTTGACGGATATAATGTTATCGTTATCACAACATCAAAGTTAAACGTTGTCATGCAGTGTTTATCGCCTTACATGGAGTCAGCACATATTTTTTGTCCTCGAAAAAAAAGCAAAACACTCACATTTTCCATCACGAATGGCAGATCATTTGGTTGAATTTAAAAGCTGAACAAAGCATAGCAAATAAAGCACAAATTTTTCGATTAGCAGTCAAAATTATGGTCTTTGGTAAAGGACCCCAGACGTTACTGAATCTTATTTCATTTACGCAGATTGTTTCAACCTAATATTTTCAGCTAATCTTAACTATGTGGATATTTGCAAACAAAAGAAGTTTTTTTGGATCAAAAAAGGATTATAAAAAGCCATTATCGTCGCCGTAAGTCGAAAACCGCAAGAATATACTACCCAATTCAACAAAAACATGCACCATTTGTGGAATGCTCAACAACATGTGCGACGCTTTGTTTTTGAATGAGATATATCAAAATCATACAAAACGAGTACCAAAAACTTCCGAACTCTATTTCAGCATTTACTGAACGAGGCAGGGAAACCATTTTCATAAGCTCTACTTTCTTTCTCATAAGCAATTAAGTCAGTCTCAAAGAATGAAGATTGCTCTAGGAAATAGTGCATTTACCACTACGCTTAGCTACTTACAAATGTCAATTACTAAATCAAAAAACACAAAACGAGTACCAAATACTTAACTCTATTTCAGAACTCTATTTTTTTCTATTTTTTCATTTTTTCTTTTTTCATTTTTTTCGCTACGGAAAAAATATACTATATATTTGAAAAATCTCCTTACATCTCCGCAGAATTCCGATAAAGCGTCTTGGACTATTAATTTCTTCGGAATCGGTCCGCTCAATGTCGCGAAGTTGGTTGAATGTAGGTTGGCTGAGTCCATTGAAAGTTTCCCGTGATCCTAGCCAACCTTGTCCAACATTACGATACATTTTAAGCCTACAACTAAGGCTTGAGCTATGTCAAAGAGGCTCCAGGAGATGACGAGGTTCATGTCATACGAGATCAAATACGAAGACTTTCAGCATGTACAATGATGTCTTAGACCTAAGAGATGTAAAAATAATTCACTGACTAATGAGGTTGCTAAGAATGACGTTTCCACTAGAGATTTTACCATTTTGCCTGTCTCGAAAAGCCGATTTGAATGTGCCTTATCTGTCAATATAATCAAATGATTCTATGAACGAATTTGCCGACATTTCTACGAAAGCGATAATGTTTGTTTCTTTGAACGAATTACAGACAATTTCGCGAAGCGCAAAGTTCTTTATGTCACGCATTTCATGATTCTGGTCATCTGCAAATATGCAGTTGCGGAACGGAAACCCTTTTTCGCTTGCTATGCTCAAAGTCAGTGTACATGCAAATCTGAGGGCATGGGTTTTTGCCTAAAAACTGATGAGGAGATCCTAATTAAGGCACTGCCCAAGGGCCAGCGCAGGTTGTTTGTTCACAGCTGAGAAATCCGTCCCCGATATCCCGCGCCTACGCCGTGACCGTAACCCGAAAACGACTTCGCTCACTACGCTCGCGCCGTGATGACCAAGTGTTACGGTCACGGCGCAGTCACAGAGTGTTTGGGGGTAGATTTCTAGCCGTGAGTGAATCATCTGCGTTGCGCTTTGGGCAGTGCCTCAACTATTAGGTTGTACAGAATTAATGCAGGTTTTTCGCGCACCTTTTTCAAAATTTTGGTCTAGAAAGGAAAAGTATTTTCCCAGAGATTGCATATCATTTGGAAGCTTTTTTCTTCTAGTTTCTTATGCATTCTTTTCAGTGGAAATGAATTTGTCTAGAAGTTCTGAGCCCCTGAATTCAAGAAACCAAATCTCAAAATTCTCTCTTTTAATATACCTGGCTCTAAAACCACCAAAAGTAATCGGAATTCGCTACAAATTTACATATTATTTTTGAGTGAGCTATGTTACAAAATGCATGTTGAATCATGAATTCTGAAAACATCTGAGCCAAGAAATTTCAGAGCAAAATTCAGCGGTCGCTGTGGTCCGTCTGCACCATATAAGAATCCTCAGCGCGAAGCGACTGCGGAGCTTCCGCTTTATATAGGAAGAATAGATTTTAGACATTTATGGCTGAAAGAATCGGGAGCCGTTCTTCCTATTCAGCTTTGAAAAAAATTCAAAAGTTTCATAACAGCTATTTTTCAACTTCTCAGAAAAGTCAAAAAAATGAGTACTTTCAAAATTTTTCCAAATATCCTCTCGCAAAGAAGTCTTTTTCAATTCCGAAATTAGCGCTGCTACACAGTGATATATTTGCGCTACCTTACTACATTTGATAGTGAGTTATGGTTTCTCAAAGTGAAGGTTTTTCGAAAAAATTCTTGGCAGATTTCAGGCTATAAGATTTTTCTCAGTGAAGCTACAACAACGCAATAGTGCATCTGAGTTGAAAAAGGTTTGCTGATTACAACAGTTCTTGTTGCACACGAAAAGATATTTGTGTAAAAAGCTATAATGATCCAAACACAAAATTCAGAAAACCTGCATTAATTCTGTTACAACCTAATAGAACCTCCTCATCAATTTTCAGGCAAAACCCATATGCCTAGATTTGCCTGGACATTGCGTTTAATACAACGCATAGTTAGATCATCCCATCACTTTGACATTTCATTGTTTAACAGTATATCGTACAGTTTGTTTGATTGAGAAGAAGATAAACTGCTCAACAGTTGGACACTGGTTTACAATGGTCACATACAACAAACAGACTACTCAGAGTCATGTGAAGCTCGTTCTTCTAACACCACTTGCTTGAAGCCTTTATTTGCGATCAAAGAATTGCACTGCAAAAGCGTAAAGATATAAAATCAGTTTTTAAGACGATCACTTAGACAAATCACTTACTTGTTGAATAATTGTCAAGACTCACTTATTCCGATCATTTCATGAAAGTAATATCCATTATGACGAAGTAACAAAAAGTGCGAAATCTTACGAGATCCGGGGAAAGAAATTGATAGAAGCGATTAGAAGGTTTACTTTTCGATGAAAACACCAACTCCTATGAGGTGCGAGATTAAACACACTCAAGACCTTATCAAACTATGTGCTTTTTAACTTTGAATCGATTTTACTACCACCAAAAAAAGGTTATCACTGGGTGTGGCAGACACCCAGTGACCCCTCACTATATGCAATTAGCCTTTCAAACAGATTCCTCAGGCCGGTCATGTTAGACTGAATCACAAGCTCGAATTTTTGTACGTGAGCGATGATTGAGGTACTCTTTGATAAGAAGCCTCATAAAAGCGGTTGTTGCTCCGTCTTTTACAATCCTTTTGATAACTTGTGACTTGCGAAAAAGTGCATGTTATCTCGTGTACTTTTTGATAAAATAAGTGTTTGATGCTAATTTCAGTCGGTGGTGCAATATGTAACCGTTCTGTGAATTCAACTGATTGAATATCTGCAGAATAGAAAGGAAACAAAAACATTTTTTTATTGATTTGCGATCATTAATGTATGCTAAATAATTCGGGTGAGTTTGTGCCGCTAACTATAGAAACATGTGACATGAAAACTGGAACTGATTCACTTGTGGAACAAACCAGTAAGACCATGTAATTATAATTTCACTATGTCAGTAAGTAATGTGTTTGCCAACGAGATTCTGCGGTGGAGACTTTATTGACCTAACGTTTCGACATCGGCGTCATCATCAGAGGTCTGAAAACGGATTGTAGGCTATTTGACCTGCTCACCATACCTTCAAGCGCCTCTTCCCACTGTGTCAGTCTAGACCTAGTCTGAGACTCACAGCATAAGACCCTCAAAGCCAGGAAACGAACAAACCTTGACTCCACCAGCTAGCGACGAGCCCGCACATTTGATGGTAACGGACGTCACTGAGTGTCACTCAGTGAGTCAAGGCCTTCTATGTGCGTCACTAAGCTCACATAATGATATGAATGGAGCTAAGTCACTACTGATAGACAAACATTCATTTTTGATATTCAGCTCTGGATTTTCAATACTGATCCATGCGGCTTCGAAGATTTTCCTGGCGCATATCTCGGTTTCATAGGTCAGAATCGTACATCTAACTTCATAATCATTTCCGCCATGTACCTCAGTCTTATGCCGTCCCAACGGTGCTGTTTGAGTCCCTCGTCTTTTGCTGGCTAAATGTTCCTTTAACCTTACACCTAGATTTCTACCCATCCCTCCGATATAACAGCTACAGCTACGGCAAGTCAGACATTCTAGCTGGTACACCACACCCGCCTTTGCACAATCTCCTACTCTACCATAGGGGCAAACAATACAATGCTCCATCATGCAATCGCTATCATAAAGCCTGTTTCGCACCAACTGCTTCTTTATATTACTATTCGGGATATTGACAAGCATCACATCATCCTGCAGTTGGGCTCTATGAATGCATTGTTTGATTGCCTTACTAACTTCGTCTGAAATAAACGGCATGCAAAGAGGGATCTTATCGCACTGAGTTCGAATAATTTTCGGAATGTTGTTTAACACGCTGATGTTCTTTCAAAACATATCCGTTGCTGCGCGCGATTTGCGATGCAAGCTTTCGTGACTCAAGCCGTTCATCATGATTCGTGCACACCATCGAAGCAGTCTTCATCATATTATGAATAACCGCTTTTTTCATTTCTGTGGGGTGAGCCGATTTGGCATGGACCAAGATGTTCTTAGAGCTTCCTTTACGATACCGTTTAACATGGAGAACACCACCGAAAAAGTTGATCTGAGTGTTAAGGTAAGGAAGCCACCCGTTTCGTGGGGTTTCTCGGGTGAGCTTGATGTACTCAGACTGCTGGTTTAGCAACTTGAACCACTCATCCATTTCGGATTGAGTAGACGTTATTACGCAGCAGTCATCGATGTAACGACAGTACATCAGTGGCATACGCGCAAGCACTGGCTCCTCAATTCCACTCATAAAGCACACAGCAAGGACTGGCGCTAAGCGCTGGCCCATTGCGAGTCCTCAGATCTGGGAGAAATATCTTCCAGACCATTTAAAGATGTTACAACTCAAGCATGCTTGTGTGAGGGTCAGTACTTGCGTTTTACTCAGTCTAAAGGTACTTGTGGTCGTTATATGCTTATCTAACATTTCCGAGAGAGCTTGTAATGCATCATCGTCGTGAACGTTAGTGTACAAGGAAGTCACATCGAAGGACTCCATGAAAACACTAGGTTCAAGCTTCGTGTTATGCAATAGCTCTAGGAATTGCTGAGTGTTAGATAGGTGTGCCGGTACCTTTGTCAAGAGCTGGCTCACGATTTTATTCAGAAACCACGAAATACGATCTGTCGGTCATCCAATACAGCTAATTATGGGTCGGATGTTAAAGACTTCGGGCGACATAGAGTGTAAATCTTGCGACCGATTTTGTGCGTTTTTATCAGATGATAGAAAACTGGACAATTTGGAGTGTCTAACTTTAACCTACTTACAAATCGTTCATCTAAACCAGCGCATCTAGCCACATTGGTCCAAATGTCGTTTAGTTTTCTATATTGATTCTGATAATCCTTCTTAGACGCAGGCCTATAGACTGTCGTGTCTGCTAGATGTAGCTCAGCAATTTCTTTGTCTAAGGACTGCGGCATCACAACACTCAGATCAACTTTTTCGGTGGTGTTCTTCATGTTAAATGGTATCGTAAAGGAAGCTCTAAGAACATCTTGGTCCATGCCAAATCGGCTTACCCCACAGAGATGAAAAAAGCGGTTATTCATAATATGATGAAGACTGCTTCGATGGTGTGCACGGGTCACGATGAACGGCTTGAGTCACGAAAGCTTGCATCGCAAATCGCGCGCAGCAACGGATGTGTTTTGCAGGAACATCAGCGTGTTAAACAACATCCCGAAAATCATATCCGAACTCTATGCGATAAGATCCCTCTTTGCATGCCGTTTATTTCAGACGAAGTTAGTAAGGCAATCAAACAATGCATTCATAGAGCCCAACTGCAGGATGATGTGATGCTTGTCAATATCCCGAATAGTAATATAAAGAAGCAGTTGGTGCGAAACAGGCTTTATGATAGCGAATGCATGATGGAGCATTGTATTGTTTGCCCCTATGGTAGAATAGGAGATTGTGCAAAGGCGGGTGTGGTGTACCAGCTAGAATGTCTGACTTGCCATAGCTGTTATATCGGAGAGACGGGTAGAATTCTAGGTGTAAGGTTAAAGGAACATTTAGCCAGCAAAAGACGAGGGACTCAAACAGCACCGTTGGGACGGCATAAGACTGAGGTACATGGCGGAAATGATTATGAAGTTAAATTTACGATTCTGACCTATGAAACCGAGATATGCGCCAGGAAAATCTTCGAAGCCGCATGGATCAGTATTAAAAATCCAGAGCTGAATATCAAGAATGAGTGTTTGTCTATCAGTAGTAACTTAGCTCCATTCATATCATTATGTGAGCTTAGTGACGCACATAAAAGGCCTTGACTCACTGAGTGACACTCAGTGACGTCCGTTACCATCAAATGTGCGGGCTCGTCGCTAGCTGGTGGAGTCAAGTTTTGTTCGTTTCCTGGCTTTGAGGGTCTTATGCTGTGAGTCTCAGACTAGGTCTAGACTGACACAGTGGGAAGAGGCGCTTGAAGGTATGGTGAGCAGGTCAAATAGCCTACAATCCGTTTTCAGACCTCTGATGATGACGCCGATGTCGAAACGTTAGGTCAATAAAGTCTCCACCGCAGAATCTGGTTGGCAAACACATTACTTACTGACATAAACTATCATGCCTAGATTCAAAGATAAAAGAGCATTCAACTTACTTATAATTTCACTTTATTTGTATCAAGTATAAGTACTAAATCACATTCATTCACATGTATCGTCGTAGACGAAGCAAAAATAAGAGCAGTCGTTTTTTCAAGCACATGTATAAATATATTATCAGTTTCATACGGAAATCTCGGAAGCATGATTGATAAAACATCATCTCATTCATACGATGCGTTAGTACACTGATCGCTTATCAACTGTTCAAGACGCACGTTTAGTGGAACTATTGCAAAGTCATTTTAATTTTTGATTCTGGAAAGTAGACTTCTACAACGAATCTTATGTTAACAAACTAACTATTAGAAGACAAGATAAACATTAAATCTGTACATGGGGGGGGGATGTGGAGCCATCTGTGGAGTAACTTGATATGCGGAGTGCACATGACGAGAGATAATCTTTGATCTACTGTCTTGGCGGCTGGAAGACGGAGCTTTGTGACTTGATTGAGTCTGCTCGCACCCGTGACGCAATCTGCGTGCGCGCGTGCTCTCTAATCATTATCTAGCCTTAATTAGGTCAAGCCCCGCCTTCTAGCCGCCAAGCCAGATAATTCAGAGGATACCTCATACTTCAGACTCTGTAAGTTCTTAAAAATTCCTTCTTTCTTTCAAATCTTGATTGGGGAACAACATGAGATACTAATAGATAATCTCACAGTTTCTCCTTTAGAAAGCATTAATTATTTTGTACTAGAAATCGAGCGCCGTTTGCCGCGCACTGCGCTGGTTCACATGTCGGGTCACAAACGACTTGCGCATACATAGTGCATACAAACGTCATACAATATTTGAAACAACATAGTATCTTGGCCTCAAATTGAGCTGACAAACTGATGAAAAGCATGAAGTTTCCGACAAACGGAATAAACTCACAGTTTTTGGAAATTTATCCGAATCTTTTCAGAAAGCTTATTTTCTAAGGTGAATCATTTCAACTATAAAGGTTTGCTTCTTCACGAAATCTTATTGAACACACTACCACTTCGTTGAGCTCAGTTTCGGAAAGATTCAAAGCAGATGCTAGGGCTGAAATCTTACTTCGGTTATGATTGTTGCTAAATGTATTTTGTGGTGCTTTCGACGGTACCAAATTGTTCAAGAAGTTCTGCCAATAAAGATCGAGCTGATTAGATTTAGCTATATCTTCGTCATAAGCGGCCATCAATCGAAACATTTTGGACATGTGCAATAGCAACCTTGAACTTGGTCGAGTATATAATAATCTTCTCCAAGAAACGCTGGCTGCTTTTTATACAGGCGATGTCAAAAACCTATTCCCTTTTGTGCAGTCCTCGATTTGCATGCACGCGCCGCAAATCCCGTGCGCAACGTGTGCGAGCTGACGGCAGGGCATTTTGCCAACTTCCACAGATGTCATCGATCGAGGGTTGGCAAGGGCCCAAACCGTACGCACGCGAACGGAGCGCATCAGCCTTGCGATGCGTGCGCGTAAGAGCTACGGACTTGTGAGCTCTTCATTAACATGCACTGTAACTGGTGGAAACTTCAATTTCACAAACAAACCAATGAACTCTTTCTTGCTTGAAGAAAAAGCATCAGTACCAGAGCAAGTAATAATTCTTGTCATTTTACCTGAGGAATACGAATATCATAAGAAGGGTTAGCAAGTTTCTGCAATTGCATAAGGCAACAAATTCCGCCGTTGTGCACTAACAAGGGAAGTCACTCAACTTAGATCGGCCTTTAAAATGAGACACACATATTTAGAATCAGCTCGGAACTCTGATTCCAAATATTATCCTTGGCTGCGAAGCGTTTCTCTGAAGCGAGTAATGAGCTTTTTAGTATGTGTCATTGACGTATAACTAAACATGGAAGGAAGGCCTTCAGATAAAAACCTACCCAAAAAGTGGTGGAAAATCGAATTAACATCAAATTGAGTCATTTGAATTCAATAGGGTATAGTATGCATTTGAACCTCTACTTAGATGATGGTAATGTAGCATGCCTAATTCGGCCAACCCGCAAACTTTGCTCAGGAAAAAGCACATAATTCGCGTTTAATGCTTTGCAGCTATGGAAAGAAGATTTAAAACCAGCGTTTTAAGCTGATTCCAACCATATGTGTCGCTTCTTGAAAGGCTGACCTAAGCTAGGCGCCTTTCCCTGTAAGAACGTCAGATCAGCTCCATGCATTTGCATTTAATTTTAGTGCTTATAAGACGAATTGGCAAAATTTTTTGAACAATCTAGTGGATACTCTGAAGTAGGACTCTATTCCTCTTCTTCTTCTGAAGTAGGACTCTATTTCTCTTCAGTCGAGCCTTCTTCGTAGTTAGTGATGTTGCGGTGGGTTGATGCGGTGGAACTGTCTGTTGTCTCATCAGTAGTTGCTGTTGTCGCAGTCGAGCCTTCTGATGTCTTATCGGTAGTCGCTGTTGATGCGGTGGAACTGTCTGTTGTCTCATCAGTAGTTGCTGTTGTCGCAGTCGAGCCTTCTGATGTCGTGTCGGTAGTCGCTGTTGATGCGGTGGAACTGTGTGTCTCATCAGTAGTTGCTGTTGTCGCAGTCAAGCCTTCTGATGTCTTGTCGGTAGTCGCTGTTGATGCGGTGGAACTGTGTGTTGTCTCATCAGTAGTTGCTGTTGTCGCAGTCAAGCCTTCTGATGTCTTGTCGGTAGTCGCTGTTGATGCGGTGGAACTGTGTGTTGTCTCATCAGTAGTTGCTGTTGTCGCAGTCGAGCCTTCTGATGTCTTGTCGGTAGTCGCTGTTGATGCGGTGGAACTGTGTGTCTCATCAGTAGTTGCTGTTGTCGCAGTCAAGCCTTCTGATGTCTTGTCGGTAGTCGCTGTTGATGCGGTGGAACTGTGTGTTGTCTCATCAGTAGTTGCTGTTGTCGCAGTCGAGCCTTCTGATGTCTTGTCGGTAGTCGCTGTTGATGCGGTGGAACTGTGTGTTGTCTCATCAGTAGTTGCTGTTGTCGCAGTCGAGCCTTTTGATGTCTTATCGGTAGTCGCTGTTGATGCGGTGGAACTGTCTGTTGTCTCATTAGTTGCTGTTGTTGCTGTCGAGCCTTCTGATGTCTTGTCGGTAGTCGCTGTTGATGCGGTGGAACTGTGTGTTGTCTCATCAGTAGTTGCTGTTGTTTCAGTCGAGCCTTTTGATGTCTTATCGGTAGTCGCTGTTGATGCGGTGGAACTGTCTGTTGTCTCATTAGTTGCTGTTGTTGCTGTGGAGCTGCCTGTTACCGTCTCGTCGGTTACTGTGGTGACACTGGAGCCGCTTGTTACCGTCCCGTCGGTTACTGTGGTGACACTGGAGCCGCCTGTTGCCGTCTCGTCGGTTACTGTGGTAACACTGGAGCTGCCTGTTATCGTCTCTGCGGTTACTGTGGTGACACTAGAGCCGTCTGTTATCGTCGCGGTGGCCGATTCTGTTGCAGTGGAGCCTTCTGATGTTTCCTCTTTGGTAACTGATGTTGTAGAAGCAGAATAAGCAGCAGTTGATGGTGTTTCTTCGTGTGCGGTTGAAGAGGGTGGTTTTTTCTGTGTTGTCAGAGTAGGAGTAGTGGTCGGCTTCTTTGTTTTAGCTGTGGTTGTTGTGACATCTTCTTTGCTACCTGTAATTCATGGTTAATAAATTCATCGTTATACTTCTTCTGTCTCATTTTTAGATTTCATTTTTATCAGGACCAAATTGATTGAAGCGTGCAAGAAATGGAACAAGGATGTTACGGACATGCTGTTTTATCCATCAGCACAAATCAATATTTTCTCATATTAACATGTGCTGATGTGTAAACTAACCTATGTCTGTTATTTCTGCGGTAATGTTTGTGTTTTGATCGAATAGATTGCCAATGTCCTCTTTTTTAATGTTGAAGGCCTCTGTCACTTCTGTTATGTTAGCGGTATTCGAAACCAGCGTCAATTTCTTGTCCATTCCAGCTTCTTTCAAAACTTGTACGATCCCCTTAGCATCTTCGTCATCAGCACTGAAAAAATGTCGTTGATTTGCATATGTACAGGATACAAAACCTAATCAAATGACGTTTATGCCTAATTTCGCACGGCTGCGCTGTGTGAGAAAGGTGCGCAATCAATTAGACGATAGAGACGGATACGTACCGTATGCATTAATTTCTCTTGTCTTCTTAGCAAGGGAATAATCAGAAGTCGAAGTGACCAAACCAAACAGGCTGTATACCATTCGATGCAGCATGAAACGCTAACTTCGAATCTGTCTTCCTTATCTGCTTATCGCTTCTGTGGACGAAGCCACAAGCAGTTTTATTGTGGAAAAATCGTGCATAAAAACTGTGAAATTGGGCACATTGTTGCATTTCAATTCAGCTTTAGGCTTTGAGAGTTTGAAGTAAGTAAGCTGCGTGTTTTGGCCCAGCATCAAGCTGAATGTGGCTCTGTACGCCAAATTTCACTTCCACGCATAATTTCTTAGCAAAATATTGGCTTTAATGGATTATAGCTTCGTTCAAAAAAACCTTAAGGCAGATGAGATTGAAAACAGATTTAGAGTCAGCGCTTCACGCTGCATCTAACGGTATGCAGTTTGTCTGGATTAGCCACTTCGCTATCTGACCATTCCCTTGTTAGATGTTTTGCGCATATTATCTTCAAAGCGACTGCCGAGTCTGGAATCTTGTAAGCACACTTGTCCAGATCGATAGTAACTTAGCAAACTATATAAGTTGCTCATTTTTCCAAAGGTTGTATCGAATTGAAAATTTGGCTAAAGATTTGTTTTGATTACAGACATGATTTTTCCAAACAATTGACTTGACGCAGATTACTTACAAGTGTTATCAGTTATACAGTAAACTCCCACCTATATTAGTGCAAATCTTTGAATTCACAGCATGTATGGGTTTTTCCGCGAATTGGGGAAAAGAGTTTGGTGTATCACCGCAGAACAATCCCTCACTGCGATTTCCACCAAATTTCTTAACTTTCTTATGCATGAAAATGTTAAACATAGCAATATAAAGGAGAATCAAAAAACGTTACCAAAACAAGGACTGACTTAAGGTAATATAGAAGAATATTTGATTGCCATGAATCAAAATGACAATGCGATCGATTTCACAAGGTTATCGTTGAAATCAAACAATCCAACTCAACAATATAAAAGGCCGAATATCTGTTTCTGCCTGTATGTATGTTTATGTGTGTACTTTGTTGCGGAAAGAGAACAGACTCTGGAACAAACTTTATACACGCGTAAACTGCTTTTCGTCATCGATCGGTGTCGGATTCATCGATATTTCTACACCTCGGGCTACGGTGCTGGGATTTAATATATGAGATAAATGGCATGCTGATTATGGGAGTATCACTGATATCATTGCATTTATAGGTCACTGTTGATTTCCGAACTTTGAACCGGGGCTAGAACTGGTACAGGAGTGAGAGAGAGTAACTAGCATTCTAATTACAAAAGCAGTGAAAGTAGTAAACGCCCGTACACTTATATATCGTTTAGTTTTTCCACAAACTTTGAGTGGAGCCGGGAGTCAGTACATTGAGAAGGGCGTGAGTGAACATGTTGATTAGAAAAATCTGAGGATAGGAATCGACGCGAATGGAAGAGGGATGAGAAATGGTGTATGCAAGTGGTGCGGATCGAGTTTTACCATGGTGTACCGACGAAAACCGAACGGCATGTACTTTGGCTAAATTAAAAATTGTAACCGGGGGTGTCTAGTGGTATAACGGTTTTAACCGGATCGATAGACAACACGGATTGAACGACTAACAATTTATCTCAGAAAAACGGCAACGAACAACAAGAAACAACAATGCGTAACTTGAACAAGGCGTAACAACGAAACGACGGGCTTTACCCTCTTGACCACTTCGGCAGGTTGACTAGTAAGAACTCTCTATCTACGGGGGAGATCCGCCTCTCTTCGACGGAGTTAGCTCCCTCTAGCGCTTCTCCAGCGCGGACCCTGAGGCTCCCCCTAACTCCCGGTATTTATACCCTGCCGAAGGGGTCAGCGCGGGCTTTTCTTCCCGCCACTGGAGATCGGTAGGTCGGTGATCCGCGCCCTCTGACATCCCTCCCCTCCGGGGAGCCGACGTCCTCGGCGGCTGCTGCAACTTGCTGAGCTTTGCACCGGGAACGCTCCTGCGGATGTCGTTGTAGTGGTAGCGCGCATATCCGTCCCTGAAGTGCGTGTCGTATACCTGAAAAGAATTTTTTGGGGTCCATCTGCTTCTCTGTTCACGTTCCCAATTTCTGTCCTTGAGGGATCCAACGTGAACAACTGATTTGGGTTTGCCCATTTTTTCAGTATTGATTCAATCACCGTCCACACTTTTGACTTCGTTTTCCACATACCACTCTTCTTGAACAATGGTGGCGGCCACATGGATACAATCTTCCCTCCTTCTTCGAGGTACTTCTTGCATATCCGCAAGGTCTCAATGATAGCCTCATCCTCCCTTCTTGGGTTCATGGGCCATACGATGATCCACATAGGACGGTTCTTCAAGTATTTCAACGCTTCTTTGAGTTGACTGAATGATACTGCCACCTTGGTCAGTACTCCACACTGTTTTAGCTCAACTTCCTCAAATGATGTTGCACATCTTGGTGCAATAAACGCAACAGGACGTTCCTTTTCAGAACTTTGTCCTTTCTTACTGCTTGTCTTCTGAACCTTGACTCCTTTCTGTGCCTCTCCGCACATTTTCCGATCACTTCTGAAAGGGGTTTGATTCTTGCTGCCCTTCCTACATGTCGACTTCTTCCGTTTGTGCTCACAAGCTTCCTCCGGCCAGATTGCTTTGGCTTTGACATCTCTTCTCTCAATGAAAGATTTCTTGCTAACAGTAGACCTGTCCTTCTCTGAGATAGATCTGTTCACAGTTGTGGTACCTTGTTGGATCTTCGCTCTTACTGAGGCGGTGTTTCTCTTATGTGGAGGCACCATCCTATCCTTTGCTTTTGCTTTACTTCAGGCTTCTTGTGTATCACTACTTCCCCCCTAGACTCGTCAATGCGTTTGTGCCAATGAGTACTTCCTCCTTCCTATCGTCGGAAACATGAAAAGCCACTTCCTTCTTGCATCCACCTTCTAATTCAACTTCTATTTTTACACCTCCGAGAAAGCTCATCACATGGTTGGATGCATCGTATATGCTTCCTTCCACAATGTCGAAAGTCTGAAGTGACTCGACATCGTACCCATTGTTCCTCGCTTCTATACTACGCTCACTGGTAGTATACTTATCTCTGAGCCCGTGTCTAGAAGTGTCGAGACCTTTCTTCCCAACATTCTCGCTTGAGTCAATGTTGTCCTGCCAACAATTCCATATGCGTCAGATCGGGAGCTTTTTACGACCATGTTCCGGCTCCTACTTACTTGATGTCACTCCATTCAAAGTCTTGATAGCGCTTTCATTCTCCGCTTTCCTGTACTTGCAGTCTCTTATCACATGTCCGAAGTGACCACAATTGAAGCACCGTTTCTCTTCCTGATACTCATCATAGGCACTCCAACTACTCGTTGGCTCATGCCTTCTTATATCATCTTCCCTTTTGCCTCTCTCTGTTGAGCTGCTTCGGCTTTGCGTCATAGCTGGCAAACAGCCTTCATTTCTACTTGCTTTCCTCCAGGACGGAGCTTGCTGTTCACTCCTCCTCTCAAATTTGCAAAATCTTCGCGACTGTTCGATCTCAACAGCGATTTCTTTTATCTTATTATACGTTTCTGCTGGGTCCACTTGGTGTAGGATTCCCACCAGCTGCACGTATTCCGGCCATGACGTCAGATTCTCCAGCAGAATCTGTGCGTACTCCATCGATCTATCCTCAATACTACATTGAGGATTAGCCTTCCTCGCTAGGTTCTCGAGGGCGACACAGAAGTTTGCAACCTCTTGGCCTGGCCTTAAGCGCATGTTCCTTAAGGCTGTCAGCGCGTTCAACCTAGCTGCTGTGGAGTCATAGGCCAGTAGTGAAGCCATCTCCCTCACTACTTTATCAAAGCCTTGCTGTCTTATCCCAACGGGAATGCTCAGAAATAAGGACTTTGCCCTTCCTTCCAAGTGTTCATCACCCCGGACCTCTATCAGCAACTGTTCATCCTGGACCATGCTACCATACTTCCTTTTGAACCTTCGAATGAACCTGTCAAAGTCTTCATCCTCATAGCCCTTGAAGACTCCAGAATTAGAAAAAGTCATGCTTTGAAAATAGTTGAGCAACTGATCTTCCATGCCTCGATGATTGTCGAGTGGTCCGTCATCCGACCCTCTCAATAAACTGCCTTTCCTCACGTTGCTCTGGGACCGAGTATCTGGTTTAACTCGGCTGTTAGGTTCTCTAGCCCACCCAACACTGTGGCTACCTTAGCCTCCAACTCTTCTCCAAGTGGCAATCCATCACCCGGTATCCTATATCGGCTAAGGATCTTGCTCACCATCTCAGGTAGCATTTCCACTTCTTTTCTGATGAGGCTTATCTCCTTTATCATCAAGTGTGCTTTTCTCGCATGGATATCATCTGCACATCTTTGCTTTTGATCCATATCCATGAACACGAATGTACTCGGCAGCGAAATGCTTCGCCTTGCCTTTACATTCATCGGTAATCAACGCCGCACGCGAAATCGCGAGTCTCAGCTGATCGAAGAGAGTCAATCACAATCGATACTCACGCCTCTATTAAGCGTGGATGATTTGATCATTAATCACTTCTCCCTTATACCTTAATTGCCTGTTCTGTATGATATGATAGAGACTTTTTTCCAGTTGATCTTAGATCTGGCCTTCTTGGCCTGTTACATACGTCATCTGCTTGATGACGTATAGATTTCCCACCTTTTTGGTCTTTTGGTTTCGCTTTCTTGGCCTGTTCTACGCGTTCTCTGCTGTCTTGCCTCTGAGACAGTCAATATCAGTCGCCCTGTGTGTGTTTCAATCGATCCAGGTCTGCTCGGCCCCCATGTAACCGGGGGTGTCTAGTGGT